GTAAGCCCTAAACACTGCTGAGTGTGGCCCCAAAATAAAATCAAATCTCTTCTGGTTCCAGTGCTTGGGGAGTCACAGACAACAATGCCAAGGTCATGAGTGAGCAGGACCAAGGTCATCGGGGTCTTCGTGTGGCCCAAGCAGGCCAGGCCCATTGCAGGCCCATTGTCCCAAAGGGTAACAGTCGCAAGCTCAGTCAGCTCGCTGACTTGGCTAAGCTCATGCCTGCATTGCCAAGGATCTCGGACTCTGCCAGACAAAGACCAAGGTCCCAACCAAGGATCAACTCATAGGGAGCTTCCAAGGCTGTTTGTACAAATAAATCTGAAGTCATGGAAAGGAAGGGCAGAGATAAATACATAGTGTAAAAAAATTTTTATAGCAAAAAGGGTCCTGGCAATGTATTCACAATGAATTGAGATTCTAATCACAGAATTACACAATTTTTACAAAATTTACACCCTCTAAAAGTGTGAGGATAGAATTGGTGTGAGCCCTAGGTCTTATTGTTTGCTATTTGTACAAATATAAAACCCAGCTCCCAGAAGAGAACAGCATAGAGTCTCCTGCCCCCGTGCCTGGCTGTCCTCGCCGGGGACCCTTGGAGGGAAGCGGGTTGAGTTTTCTTCCCCACCCCGACCAGGGCTCCGGCAGCTGAAGACCTCCAGAACCAGCCACCACCATGCTGAGACCACTCTCCGCACACATGAAGGTACTGGCAGAGGAACAAAGGCACGGGGGTCCCGGGGCTGAGATCTCCAATCTTACTCGGATCGGGGCTGAGCATCCTCCACCCAGATCCTCCAAATTCCTGTAGGCGGGGGTCACACCCACCAACTGGCCCCCTGGCGCCGTGTAATCCCATCAATGGCCAAGACTCAGAGACTATAAAGCCCAGCATTCGCGACCACGCGACATCTTATCATCTCATTCCTACTTTGGACAAACTGGCAGGCTACCGAATGTAACCTGCCCACACGGCAGAGTCTGGCAAACTCCCCGTGGTGTACCCAATACGCCAAATACCAGTAACAATGAAGGGTCTCATTCTCCTAACTCTGAAAGAGCCTTGAATATGGCTCAAGGCCCCTGTACCTATGGCTACACCCACCCCAGCCCCCAAGACTGCTCCAGTCACCAGATGTTCAGGCCAGGGACAAAGGAATTGACCCCGGGGTGCCAAGCATCTACAAACCTGTTTATCTGCAGACACTGCCCATCTCAGAAGTTCATCTCCGAGGGGTGGGTCCATTCCAACATTCTCAAATATTTCACATCCCAATGGGCAGGCATTAGAGGAATTTCAGTTTAATCAGAAGGAACTAACATCTGCACTTATAAAAGACAAAGTCAGAGTTGCAAGAGTGAGCTGCCTGCTGGAGTCCTGTGGTACCTTGTCCCACAGCCCAGGATCCTTGTGTTCTACCACCTGTGTTTCCAACTCTGCTTATCAGCCCTGAGTCCACTAACTTAATACCATGCTGGGCAGAGGGTAGCAGGCCCCCAGGGTGGGTCCATTTGAGCTCTGGGACTCAGGACAAGCCTTTGGATCCTCCAGCATGACCACTGCCACAGCTTAATTTCAGATGCAAGGGTGTCATCAAAGTCTACTCTGCAGGTGGCTGTGGGTCTGGACGGAGTGTCCTGGTCTCCACAGCCCAATCCCTGAGACCTCAGGGCCTCTCATTCTCCACCAAGAAGTCGTTTAAACAGGGGAGGCTTCAAGCCATCTGAGCACCAAATTCCAATCTCATCCCACGCATGAATATCCTCTGACCTTTCCCCCATAGCTCAGACACTGCTCTGCTGCTCCCCACCCCCACTTCACCCCAATCAAAGCACAGCAGCAGCAGCAGCAGCAGCAAGACTTGGAGGAAGGAAGGATGACCACTTGCTCTTCACTTTTAATCTGGCTTTCCACCCCACTTTGTGGTTGGGTGAGGGTTTTCCCAGGACTACCCAGCAGCGAAAGCAGCCCAGTGGACTTGAAGTAGATGACTCGCAAACAAATTCTGTCACTCATTCATTTATTCCTCTTCAGCCCTCTGAGCATCCCTTCCTTGGCTTCACGTTAGCAGGTTTTCAAGGACTGCTCTTTCAATACCCAGGATAGAGATGAAAGGGGCTTCATTCTTCCCATTTTAAAGATGGGAAGACTCAGCATGATAAGAGGATACAGACTGGTAGTGAAGCTAATGAAGAAAGCTCTGAGACCTTTTATCATGGGTCCCCTTCAAGGCCCTGACAATGTCTTCACAATGCACTGATATTGTATTCACAGGATTACATGTTTTTATGGTTGGCATTCACAAAAGTAAGGTGTTTCAGTTCCAACTGGTTATTAAGCAACATCTTTTTCCACTCTGAAGCCTCCTGCACTCAGACACCCTTTCATGCTAAAAGTTGTAACAGGTGCTATAAGGCATTTTGGTATCTAGTTAAGGGGAAGGTAACTGGGCGGGTAGATGAATTTTGGATGTAAAGGGATTGTATCTGTGGTTCATGGTAACTTTAACATGGGGGAAAATTATTGCCAACTGCCCCCCAGAGCTGTCCCCCAAGAGTTCCAGAAGTCCGCCTACCACCCAGCAGGTTTACCTGTCATTGAGACTCAGAGTTGCAATACCTAGTACTGGCAGACTGTGCAAACCAGGACTGGAATGAACAGACAGAAGTTGGTCTTCTGATATTCAAACATTGTCTATACTGGAGGAAAGCTTAGCTCTTACCAATGCCGAGTCAAAAAGGGATATTTCCTCCTATCCAAAAAGAAAAACCCACTTGAGGGACTGGAGAGATTAGAACAGCAGGTAAGGTGCTTGTCTTGCATGGGGTTGACCAGGGTTTGATCCCTGGTACTACATAGGGTCTCTTGAGAACCACTAGAAGTGATTCCTGAGCATATAGCCAGGATTCATCCCAGAGCATCACCAGACATAAAACCAAAAGCAAAAGCAAAGCAAAAAAACAATTGAGGGCCAGGGAGATGTTTCATGGAGAACATTGCTTTCATGCAGGAATTATGGGTTTACTCCCCAGCATCACCTACCCCCTCAAGCACTGCCAGGAATTTGCCCAGAATTGCCAGGTGTAGCCACCAAAAAATTAAAAAGAAAAAGACATTTGATTATATATTGAATGCAATTATAAATTACTTTCCCCCCTGTTGGTGGGAAATACTTTAGACAGATTTCATCAAAATTCCTGCACTGAAGAATTCAAACTGTAGTCACATAACAGCAAGTTATTGTCTGTATATGAAGTAACAATTTTCTATGTATTGCAACTATTAGTGATAAAAAGCAAATTTTGTCAATCATGTCAGAGGAAAATGACATCATCTTTGCAAGCTTCCTTTAGAAATTTTGCAAAATCCTAAGAAGAGCTGATCAATGAGTATGTAGCAAAAAGATAAGAAAGAAAAAGATATTACAGAAGTTTGATGAGAAAACAATTTATAAAGTTATTTGGTTATCTTTCTAGATTTTATAGGTGCATATCAAACTTGAAAAATTTTACTGGACGTGATTTCTCATACTAAGGACATATCCACGGTGTGAAAATTTATTCAATTTATCTAATTTTATATTTGCAATTATATATTTGTCTAATCCTATATTTAAAAAGTTTTTTCTTAAAGAGGGGTCTTAGAGTCCAGAAAAATAGTTCAGTGGGCAGGGTGCTTGCCTTGCATGCGGCTGACCTGGGTTCACTCCTCCATATCCAAGTACCAGCAGGAGCAGTTCTTGAGTACAGAGTTAGAACTGTACTCAAGTTCTAACTCTGGAATTAGGGCATCACTGGAATTAGGTATAGCCCAAAACCCAATCAATCAATCAATCAATCAATCAATCAATAAAAGCATTCCCAAATTGCCCTACAAAATGTAGATTATTTTCCCCCATCAAGAAGGGTAGGCTCTAGAACCTTGGGATTGGGATTCCCTGCACCTCATCTCAGAGCACCCCATCCTGAGACAGTCTTTCACCAGAGGTGGGGGGCTTAGGAAGGCTGGAAGGTTACATTACCCACCTGGGCTCCCCCTCTGCAGCAACCCAGATTGCTCCTCACTAGACAAGTGAACAAGGGATATTCTGAAGACCCGCCTGTGCTTTTTTGACAAAACTACTCTTAGAACCAAGTGCCCAAGTTAAAGAGAAAGAAGCTCAAATCTCTACACATCATAGTTGAAGCCAAGTTGACCCTACCCAGTAACATACCACCTTGAATGTTTCCACTCTGCATGTCCAACATGAAAGTTACATGTGGCTATATGAAGTGAATTAAAGTAGCATTCAAAACTCAGTCCCTCGGTTGCATTAACCACAAGGAAAGTACCCAATAGCCTCATGTGTCGTGGATCAGTGCAAACACAGAATTCTTCTATTATCACCCCAAGGTTCAACAGTTCCGCTGAATTGACCTGAAACATTCCTTGTTCAGATGCATCTAAGCCCTTCTTCTCAAGCAGGGGTGTTTCCAGGTGCAAGTGGCAGATGTGAGACAGGGAGATGTGAGACAGGGAAAGGAGAAAGGAAGGAAGGGAAAGGAAGGTCTGCACAGGCAAAGAGAGCAAAGCTGAGAAGGCCGAGAAGGGTGTGGGAGAGCCAGAGAGGAACCAGGCCTGGCAGAGCACAAGGGGGTCCCAGACACGGCAGCCAAGGATGGAGGCAAATCATACCAAAGGAGTCTGGAGTGGAAGTGGGAGCTCCAGAATCAGGGTCGCCTGCCCCATTCCACACACACACACTCCCACACATGCCACCCACCCACCCTAATGTCTTGGCTGGGCATGTGAATTCCCACTTGGCCTGGCTGGAAGGTCCAGGTGTGGGTTAGGGTAGGGTTATAGTACAGGGTCACCCACATCTGGGTCGTATCATCACCTTCCTCTGCCTTCCCAAGGGCTCTGAGCCACCTAGAGCGCATCTGGGACAGACGGACTGATACAGGCGAAGCACCTGGAACTGAGTGTGGAGTGTGCAAGCATGTCCGAGTACCAGGACTGTGTCCTGGGCATTGGACACCTCCAGAGAGCCCAAAGCAGCCACAGGCCTCAAGGAACTCACAGGCTAATGGGAGAACAGAGAAGTGAACATGGGTCTGAGAGAGGTTGCTGGGGGACACCTGGTGTGTATGTGGGGGGAGCTGTGTAGCTAGAAAGGGCCTGATGGCAGGTTGAATTGTGAAGAACCATGGAAGAGCATTGCTAGGAGCCCCCCATCCCTCTTTTCAAAAATGCTCACTGAATCCTTGGTCCACCTGACAGAAAGCAGGAGCCCAAGGCTCCGAGATGCTAAGGCGATGCCCCACTGTCCCGACACATGGGTAGGAATGAGATCTGGGAAACCAGGTAGCTCCTGTCTCTGGGCATGGCCGGAAGGATGAAGCAAAGTCCCATCTGGAAATAAACACAGCCCCTGCGACCCCCCACGTCCCCACAGGCACCCAGTCAGGTCTGTGATTGGCTCATTTCTCAGGATGGGACTAGAACTATCAGCCCATTCAAGGGCCTCACCATTGCCCTCCATGATACTCTTACCACGCAGGAGCCCTGGAATGAGCAGGTCAGCTGGACAAGGGGCCAAGCCACTTGCACTCCAAACCCAGAGGCCCAAGGACCCCACTTGGCCTTCATATGTGATTTTCAGGAGCACCGGAGATCTGCAAGGACACTGCTGCTCCCCAGGCAGCTGCTCCTTTTCCTTATCTGCCTTAGTACTGCATCCAGCTGGCCGTCCTTCCCCCTTGCCCTTCAACAAGGGCCCCAGGAAAGTGCAGGAGCACCCAGGGAAGCAAGGAACAGAGCCATACACGAAAAACAAAACCATACAGATCAGACCCCCACAATTTTGGCTCACATTTATTTCTTCTCACACACACACACAAAAAAAGAGTTTGCATCCAAGTGGAGATCTCCTGCCCTTAGGGGACGTATTTTCCAAACATAAAACTCATTTTCCACAACAGCACTTCACAACCACACAAAAGCAGCAGACAAGTGCTATGGGAGGGTAGATGGTGAGTGTCTCCTCTCCTGGGCCCCTGGGATATTTGACAATCTTGAGAGGCATATTTGGATGCTACAGTTAGGGACAGGCAGTTATTGGCATCTTGGGGGTAGAGTTCCGAGTACTAAATGCCCTCCCTACATGTTTGTCCTGGCTCAGGCGGGGCCTCCTGCCAAGAGCCTCAGGGCTGAGCTGAGTGTTCATACATGCACAAGTGTCCCCTCTCACCTGTCTGTCACCCTCTGATCCACAGAAGACAGGTTTCCTCTATGGGGACAAAGGTCCTGAAGGTCAAGGAAGATCCTGAGTTTCCAAAGGATACTGTGTCCCCACAGGTAGAAATGACAGAGGAAGCATCCCGCAGGGGAAGCTGTTTCCCTCACTGGTGCACTGTCAGAATTGATTGTGCTGATTGTGCTAGAGGACTGACATCCTCTCCAAGAGCTCTGGTTCCCAGGCTAGAGGACACACCCTGGGTGTCCAGAGAACAAGTGCCTACTGCATGATGACTCCATTCTGTCTCAAGGAAGCATGGCCACACAGCTCAGGCTGGGATCCCTGAGCAGAGACCATGGACACACACAAAGACCACAGAGACACACAGAGACCATAGGGACGCACAGAGACTGTGGACATGCAGAGACCACAAAGATGTACAGAGAACACCGAGACTTACAGAGACTACAGAGACACACAGAGGCCATGGAGACACCCAGTGACCACAGAGACACACAGAGACCATGGGGATGCACAGACACAGTGGTAATGCACATGGGACATGCAGAGGAGGCACAGAGCTGTTGCCATTCTGGATGTTTCCTTGCCTCATCAATGAGATGGTAAAAATAAAAACTGCTCAAATCAAGCCTCTGCGAAGGTGTTTTAATTTTAATGACTATCAGTAAGTTCTTTCTTAACAAGCTACAATGTTCGGTGAACAAATCTGTCTGCTGATTGCTCCTATAAAAAGGTCCTCACCCCACCAGGGAGCTGCCTCAGCCCGGACCCAACTTCCCTATTCATGGGCTGCCCAGGGATGACTTCAGGCATTTCCAGGGCCCTCTTGTCTATTCCATGGACCCCCTGAGGAGTGGGAGCCTCCCCCAAAACACTGAGGCTGCTACTCCTCCTGATAACCTCAATTTTGAAGTAAATTAACAGTTTTCCCATATCCCTCCCTGTAGGATAACACTGGTTTTTTTTTTTTTGTTCTTCCTCAGGTAGCTTAGGTTTATCGGGTCACACCCATCTAAGGACACTGAACTTGTATTGTAAGCAATGTCTTCTCTGTATGGACACAGGAAGACAGTTAATATTATGCTTTGTAACTTGAGGGTTGATTGACTCCGAAGAATATTTACTCCTGGGAATAATATTTAATAATATTATTGGACAAATAATAAATTGAATAAATAATAATATTTACTCCTGCTTTCTTGACTCAGTTGCCCTTAGTTCCTAGCACCCCAAAAGCAGGGTCCCGACGAGGGACTGAATGAACCCAGGGCAAGCTGTGTGCAACCCTGGCATCAAAATGGGCCAGGCCAAAGCGCCACAATACTCAACTATAAGTTGAGGGCATGATCATGGACAAATGCTGTCATGATCCAAAAGTAAGTAAGGACGAGACTAGGACCCTGCTGGATCTAGGAAGATTAACCTGGCCTGAGGACTGCAGAATGTACAGCAAGATGTTCTCAGGAAGAACCAAACTAAGTTTATATCTCTTACTGTGCTCATACAGAATGACAGTGCTAGAAATATTAGAAGTAGATTTATTACAACTATTTAAGTACATTACTAACTGAGGGAAGAACACGCCCTTGTTGGGATCCCACCCTTGAGCGGATCTCCTAGTAATCTGGAGTAATCTCTTTAGATGAGATTTTATCCTTGAGTTAATCTCCTGGAGGAGTGGTCTTACCTCTCTTTGTTGATTTGTCAATATTCAACCCACCTTTATGTCACTGCCTTACTGTGATTGCTATATAAACTAAGATTGTAAACTCGGGGAAGGGGGAGTCAGAAGCGAGAGGGCTGGGGTTCCTGAGATCCAGAGCCAGGGCCAGAAGGAGAAAGGTTCCAGATTGGGGACCAGAAGAGAAGGAGGCAGAGAGAGACAGGAGTGAAGAGGATTGGAATAAACTACTATTGATATCGACCAGCCTGACCCTCGCCTGCCCTTGGCCAATAGCCGTCCTGATCCAGGCCACAGACAGCAGCTCAAGGGCACCAAACACAGGCGGTGAGACAGTGCTGTCCTGTGAGCCCGCGAACATACAACCTTCGGCGAGCTAAGATTTTACACCTGCCTGAATGTGACATGCGTGGTAGTATTCAAGGAGCAAGTGATACACACATACCCATGGACCCATTTGCTTGCTTCAACAGCTCTACAAAGTTTTCCCATTATCTGGTGGGAAAAGGTGGCTTGCACCCCAGAGGGAGGCACTGAGAACCCTCCCTACCCCACAGGACCCAGCCCTGGAAGCTGAAAACCTCCAGAACCCAACTACCGCCATGCTCAAGGCTACTCCCCATGTGCTCAGGTCAAGCTTCATGCATGAGTGAAGTGAAGTCCGACAAAACCCAGGAAACGCAGAATGTTGTGACCCTGCACTCTGGGCTCAACAGAACCGGGAGCGGAGATCCTCTGTCCGTTTCCTCCAGTCTCAGGTGACCCAAGGGTCACGCCCATAAACCACCTCCTGCCGGTGCCAGATAATCTTGTCATTGGCCACAATCCAGATCACACAGCTTTTTCTCACAGAAGAGAGCAACATGACGCACACCATAGCCATGCCACTGGACTCTGCACCAGGTTGTTTCACGAGGGGCACCTCAGAATGGGAGAGGTGAGATCCCTTCCCACTGCAAGGGACACAGTCCCAGCAGCTCAAAACCTCCAGAACCCAACCACTGTCATGCTCACTCCCCACATGCTGAGCCTCACATATGAGTGAATGTATTCCTGGAACTTGCAGCCACAAATGTGGCCATGTGACACATCATAAGACACTCTCTACCCATTCTCCATAAGTACCACACCACATCTGACGGGGTTCAAATAATAGGCAACAAATCATAGAGGGAAATATATATATGCATATATACATATTTTCAGATATATATATATGAAAGCTCACATCACTCAACCTTTAACAACATGTTGGTAATATCCTGAAGAATGTCTTAATGGCCCTTGCCATAACAGAACAATCTTCACACTGTTTCCTCTATGGATACTTTTTTGGGTAGCATTTTCAGTGGTTTTCTATAACAGACAATATAAAATATATTATTTCAGTTGTGTTTGGAACAGGGATTGGGGCTTGGGATGGAAACATCCCAAATTTGGTTGGGAAGGTGTAATGGTGGTGGGATTGGTGTTTGAATATTAAATGTAATCAAATATTGTGCACTACCTTATAAAATATAAATAAATAAAATAAAAGGTGGCTTGAAGAATAATCTTCCCAGAATCCCTAAGCCCAGGAATCAGTTCCAGCCTCATCTCACCCCAACCTTCCTTCCTCTCCTCTCACCCTCTCACAGGCAGGCCCTGACTTCGCCTCAGCAGAACTGGAGCCTTCAGCATGCTCGGACCTTGGGATGAGAAAGCCTTTCCCAAAAGCAGGTTGACTGGAAGCCCTGGGGAGGGCCATGGGGGCCAAGGGCATAGCGAGGTGAGAAGCCCGCTGCGAGTTCAACACAACAGCCTGAGTCAGGACCCTGCCTGTGGTCTAGGCGCACCCCAGCAGCACTGACCATGCTTACATCGGACACTCCCTTCCCGACCCTTCCCTCATCTCAGTCCTGTGGGCTGAGGTGAGGAGTCTGCCTCTGGCTGTCATCAATACTATCTGTGGCTTCTCGGCAGGGGATCTCCAGGCTCTACCCCTCCTGGTTCAGCACAGGGATGAGGATCTCCTGTAGACAACATCTCTCAGACTCCCTGGGCACCGTGATGGTAAAACACAAACACTTTTCTTTTTTTTTCCTTTTTTTAATTTTTCATTAGTGAACCACCATGAGGTACAGTTGTAGACTTACAAATTTTTGTGCTTGGGTTTCAGTTATACAATGATCAAGTACCCATCCCTCCACCAGTGCCCATTTTCCACCACCAGGGGGTCCCAGTATTTCTCCCACCCCCATCGCCCCCATCCCACCCCGCCTCTGTGGCAGGGCATTCCCTTTTGTTCTCTCTCATCTTTTGTGGTTTTCAAAAGATGCATTAAGTGGAAATCATAAAACGCAAACACTTTTAGTTGGCTGCGTTGCTGCACTTCAATTCTCTACAATGTACGTCCTTCTTTCTGTGCCTCTGCAGATTTCACCCACTGTCCCCTGTGCACTCCTGGGTCATGCCATCACTCTCCCAGATGCCCATCGATGGGTATAGAGATCAGGGGTCTCCCTCTTCCCCTGCTCCCCAACAATCACTATGTCAGGGAGGAAGGAGGGGCTCTGTCTCAAGCAATGCAGGCCTGGCCGCAGACAGCCTCCCGGGAGAGCGTCCAGGACCACAGGCTGCACTGGGGAACACAGAGCCCTTGGGAAGGCAGGTGGAGACAGGGAGGGAGAGAGACTGAGATGAGGCGGCGGGGGCGGGGGTGACATTAGGGCTACACAGGCCTGTTCAGAACTTAGAGTTCACTTTCACCCACGTTGAGTAGGAAGCCACAGTCCGGATCAGAGCCAGGGCCAAGAGCAGCTGGGAGGGTGTGTGTTTGGGGGGGGAGGTGAGGGACAGTGCTCAGGAAGCTGCTGTTGCTGCCAAGTCTTGGGTCAGGAGGGTAAAGGTCAGAATGGGCCTGTGGATGGATTCGAACCCACATCCTGAGGAAACAACAGGGCTTAGAGAAACTAACGATGATGAGAGATGGGAGGAGAGGAGGAAGTCTGGTCTCTGGCAAGCAGCCCAAGAGAGGATGGGATGCCCCTTCCTGAGACAGGAGGTGTCCAAAGAGAAGAGACGGAACTGAGGCAGGGCTGTGAGCTGCTGAGCCCCTGAGAGGAGCCCGGGAGGGAGAGAGGTGCTCGTGGGATTCTGTGGCACCCTAGAGGAGCAGCGTGGAACCGGAGCCTGGGGGTGGAGGGCAGGGGATCAGCCTGCAGAGGACTCTCAAGCCTCCAGGCCAAGCCGTGGTGTCGGGGAACAGCCAAGGAGGCTGGGCAGGAACCGTCAGCAACGTGGGCAGCAAGCCAGCTAAGGGACGAGGGAAGAAAAGGAGATGGTCAGTTTTAGCTACTTATATGCTTCCCAAGGGGAAGAAAGACACGGTCAGAGCACATGGTCCGAAGGGACTCCACGAAGGATGGGGAGGAGACGGTTAGGGCAGCTAAGATGGTGCAGTGGGAAGATTAGGAAGGATGGAGAGTGCGGAGATGGGGAATGGGAGAGGATAGGGAGGAGGAAGAGGAAGAAGGAGAGGACCATAGAATAATGTGGAGTCAGTCCCAGGAAGCAGTGTGGAGCCCAGCGGGGCGGGAGGGAGATGCCAGTTGCTCAGGGAGGCCCCAACTCCCCTGTACCCTTCCCTTACCTCTTTCCAGGCTTATCTCCACCTGCCTCCTTGTCTGTCTGCCTATTCCGTGTCTTCTTCCCCAAGTTAGACATGGAGGCCCTTGGGGCTGTGGGAGGCTGCTGGACGCACACTTAGCAGGATGCTGGCCCAGAGCTGGGGCTCAGGCATATGTGGAATCCCGAATGGAGAAGAACTCAGGCACAGAGAGGGGCTGGAGGAATAAGTGCAGAGCTAGGGAGCTTCAAGCAGAGGCAAGGACCAGAAGGAGCACCCTAGAGCTTTGCAGAATCTCACTCAGATAGACAGCACAGCATGGGTCTTCACCTGAGCGCAGGTTCCGCCAATGCAAACTGGAGACAAGGACCTGGACAGGTGATTCCTGAACCAGAGGCCCCTAGACGGAGTCTCCAAGGAGGGCAGATGGGGGAATGGAACAGAGAAGGGTGGAAGCCAGGCCAAGACAGAGACATTCCAGCACAGCCTGAGCCCATGGACACTTATGGAGGAAGAACCACTCTCCTCCAACTGCCCCCGCCCTAGGAAAGACCCCCACATACCAATGAATACCCAATGCCAGGGCATCTTGCTCTGACAGGAAGTGACAGTCAGAAGGTGATGGGGCAGAAGCTGTGAGTGAAGGCACAGAATCGATGAAAGTGGCACAAGGGTCTGGCAGTGCCACCTATGACCACCCCTGCACAGGACACATGGCGTGTGTGCCCAGAGGATCCATTCCCCCAGTGACGTCATTCCAGGGTCTGCACCATAGGGACTCCTACCACATAGAATCACTTTTATCCTGGAAAATAATCTTTCAGAGAAGACGTCAGGGCTCCTGAGAGCAGAGAAGAGCTCCTGGAAAACTAGAAGGCGGTGAAATCAATGCAGCTACAAATACTGAATGTGATCGCAATGATTAAAACAGGACTTTCAGGGCCGGGGAGATGCTCAAACACTGAAGCACAGGCTTTGCATGCAGGGGCCTGGGGTTGGATCCCTGGCCTCAAGTATCACCAGGGTTACCCCACCTCCCCCAAAAAACACAAAGAAAGAAAATAAACATGTTTATTATCAAGATATGATGATAGTGAGGAATCCTCTGAGAGCAAGTAAAATTTATCAACTAGTTACCATTTATACACCCGCTAGATGCCCCAACTCAGGGCCAGAAATGGTGACGTGAATTCTCCCAGGCCAGAATGTTATGTTATTCCTGAGTAAAGGACAGTGATGGAGGTGAAGGCAGACCCCCGGAGGCAGTGGAGGCAGAGGCTGAAGACTGGAACCTCACCCTGAGGAATTTCCAGCCCCCCACCTCAACTCACTGCACCTCCACTTCTCCAACCGGAAGAGAGTAATGACAGGGCCCTGGAGGGTAAACTGAGGTCACTGCAGGAGACCTTGTGCAGTATCAGATGTGATCGACCAGTTCTCAGCTGGTAAGTGTCCATGGACATGGTTCCAGGGGGGCAAGGACAGAGCAGACCGCCACTTCTCTGGCTTGTGCCCTCCCCACTCTATTCAGGAAGGACCACGGCAGTCTGTCGTCTGGCTGCAGAGTCATAGGAGGAGTCAGGAAGCCTCCATCACTGTTTTCTTGGACCTAAAGGCCACCCGCCTAAGCTGGAACCAAGAACTGGAGAGTAGAGGACAAGCCCCCATGGCAAGTGGCCAGGACAGAGGTTAGAAGCTGTCCTTCCCCAAAGCCTTTCAGACGTGGAGCAAACAGGGACTCAGACTAGAACGAGTAAGGTTGGCAAGACAATGCTGGAAAACCATTCACCTCTTTGTCCCCCTGCTCTTTCCAGCCCGGCACTGTCAGTTGCCTCTGACCGGCCCTGTTTGACAGCACAAAGAAGGCGACTCCCAGGAACATGGAGTCAGCCAGATCTGCCTGCTCTCACTTCCATGTGACCCTGGACTAGAGACACTGGCCTCTGAAGGCCTGGCCTCGAACACACACAAAAATCCCTTTGGGAGCATCTCCGAGTCAAGGACCGCCAGACCAAGAACTCAGAATCACTGAGGGTGGGACTCCCCTGCTGGAGGGGTACACAGCCGCCTTCCACCCGTCTGATTGCATTAACGGAGATGATTCAGGGAGAGCTTTGCACTGAGCACATGCAGGAGGGGGACACCACGATCCCCTCAGTGCTCCCTACCTCTAGTGACACTCCTCAGACTCCTGCAAGACTGTCTCTGGAATCCAAGCAGCCAAGAGAGACTTCCCCAGCCCCAGGACCAGCAGCTATGGGATATCTGATCGCATGCATCCCAGACCCGGATGTTCTCTTAGTAAAGTCAGTCAACAACACAGTATCTGGTGTGGGCCAAGCATATCTTCTCCCAGTTGGTTGAATAATCGGTATTTCACACCCCATCCAGCAAGTACTCTATTGTTCCCATATTGCAGATGGGAAAACTGAGACACAGAGTGTTAAGTAAATTATCATACATGACAGAGTTGGGATATGAATTCTGGCTGCACAGAGCCAGCCCCCGTGTTTCCATCCCTAGGCCGTCTGGGTGAGGGTGCCAAATACGATTAGAATAGTATCAAAGGGAGAGACTGGGGGCTCACACCAGTGGAGAGATCCCAAAGCCTGTTATTATTTGACACTCACTCATAAGAAGGGAACGAGATCCTAGTTCCAGGCTAATAGGCACATACACACACACACACACACACACACACACACACACACACACACACTAATCTGGGCATCTTCCCTCCTAGACAGGGAGAGAGTGGGAACTCAACAAGAGAAATGAAAAGATGCAGACACGCACACACAGGAAAGCACACAGCGGCTTTCTTGACAACAGCCTCCGAAAGAGCCCACACTTCTCTCTCCAGGTGGCCAGATAAATACGCTGCAGCGCTTCCAGACAATGAAATACTACACAGCAGTACAAAGGATGAGCTGCTGAGACCACCACACAGATGAACTGCCAAAGATTTGCTGAGCAGAAGAACCCAAGAGTGAAAGGAATACATATTTTATGACTCTGTCTATCTGGAGTTCTAAGAAAGGCAAAATTCTTTTTTAGAGAAAACAGATGAGCGGTCGCTGGGGGGGATAGAGTCAGGGAGGGAAAACTGAGTACAGAGAGGCATAGGCAACTGCTAGGGAGAGATAAAAGGTTCTCATTCTTGATTATGGTTGTGCTTTGAAGCTCCCTGACATGTATGCTTTCAAAGGTGAGTGTTGCTGTATGTAAATTAGTCCTGGTTCTACTCCAAAAGGCACTCCATGCCAAGTCAACCTCTAGAGAGGAGTGGGCTCTGAATTGAGGAGGGAGATGCAAGAACATTCTGCTTCCCGGATACTAAGTTTTCTTTGTTTTGCTTTTCTTTCCCCTTTTCCCTCCTCCCAGGCCTCCTTCCTTCTTTTTCTCATCACCTTCCATCCCTCATTTCATCCCCCCTTCAGCCCTCCACTTCCCTCGCTCCGTCTCATCACCTCTCTCTTGCCAGCCAGCTCTCCCTGTTTCTGAGTTGAGCTGAGTGGGGTGGCAGGCCCGGTGTTCTGAGCCTTTCCAAGCACTGCCACTGCAAATTAGCGCCAATGATCAGACACCCAGGCAGCCGATTCTCAGCTGACTTCGGAGCGGCAGATGTTCTGCAAAACTGGCCAGTGACCCACAGAGAAAGCTGGCAAGCCCAGAAGGCTCCCGTTGGGCCCTGTGGGGCTTCTCCCTCCCAGGTAGAAAGTATACATGCATTAGATGGGGAAAAGGGCAAGTGCATTTCCAAGAAGTACTTGGACTTGGGAGAGAGGGAGGTCATTTGTCTCTGTCCAAGAAAAATGTTCCTTCACCCTTGAAAGATTCTCTCAGAAACATATGGGAAGGGGAGGGGGGGGACTGGGCAGCAGCAGATGAGAAAGAGAGTTGGGGTATGGGATAGCAGAGCAGCCAAGGCCGCTCTATTCTGGAGGCTAAATCTTGGAATGACAGAGGGAAGGTGGCAACCCTGCCACCAGTTCCGACTTGGTTCTCAAATAAGTCAGCACCCACGTCAAGGGACCCCAACTCTGGCTGGATGAGCAGCAAGTAAGCAGGGCAGGGGGGTGACAGGAGATGGGGTGGGACAAGGGACTGGCAGGCTTCCCTCCTTGGGCCTGTGGGAGGTCTGTGGCAGCGGGCACGTCCATCTGCTCTGTCCCAGCCCCAGGCAGGGAAGGAGACAGTGATGACCCCAGGCTCCTGGCCCAGAATTTACACCAGGAAGTGAGCAGCAAGGCTGAAATCCCAGGAGTGAAGCACACCTGAACCACACCAGAGTCCTCACTCAAGGGTCTGTTGAACTAATTTCCAGAGTGGCAAGAGTCCATAACCCTGGGTCAGGAGGCTTCAAGTATGTTCACCCAAGGGAGGCAGAGGGAGGCCAGCCACCATCTAGGTCCTTGTTGCTGAAGGCTAAGAGGCTGGTTCAGGGAAGCAGATGCTTTTGCACATATCTTTTGCCCAGAAGAAAGTTGGTTCCTAGGCAGGAGAGCCTAACATCCAAACAGCAAAGAACTGAGACATTAGGATAGCCTTAAGGTACAACCCAAGATAGGAAGATTCAACCAAACCAAAACCAAAACAGGCATCTGTAAGAAAATAAAAGAAAATAAATCAGGGCAGTGAGTCCTTATTAAATGGTAAAGTAAGGGCCTGGGGGTGGGGTGGGTGAGAGGGGAGAAGAAGAAAGAGAGAGAGAGAGAGAGATGGAGACAGAGATGGAGACAGAGACAGAGACAGAGAGACAGACAGAGAGTTCTAATAGTAATTTACTCTCTTGAAGGCTTGGAAAAATGCTATGTCCCAGAAGAATGTCCTACCAAAATGTGGGACCCTCAAGTGAAGCCTAACCCCATCAGATCACCCAAGTATTCAATGGAGCATGAACGCCCTACAGACTTATGGAATTTTGCCCTGCAAGGCTTAACTATTAGTTATCACCTCGATTCTTAAACCTTGGGTCATGACCCCACTGACTGTGGGATTTATTTAACAGTAAATTTCTTTATGATTTATTACCAATATACCTAATTTTATATACCTTTACACAGAGGTCACCTGAAAAAATCTGAAAGGAAAAAGG